CTGAACAGTGAGTGCTTCAGATGATGTTACTAACAGCAAGGTAGATAGCTTCATGGACATACAATTGCAGTGGTGGTTAAATGAATAGTTTGAACACACCTATCCCTTTACTCTCTCATCTTGACCCTCCCAGTGCGATGAGATGATGCTAGATTCCATCCTGGAAAACCAAAAGAAAAATAAAAGGCCCTCTTGACTCACTGTTTACATGCTGTCTCCATAGGAATCTTATGGTAAAGCAGATACACCTTGATCTCTCTGCTGCAATGCTGTTAAGCCAGACATTACCTCAAGAGCCATTCACTGCACTTTGCCTGTATCCCTTGCTTCCCTACCCCTTCTATTCATCTTGCTTTTCTTATACACACCTCTGCTCTTCTTTATCTTCAAAGCCCATTGCAGCCCATTTCATTCTGAAATAAAGGGGCTAAATGAGGCTTCTTTAGCAGAAAACACCCTCAGGGCTCACCTTTCTTTGGTAACGAAGGGAGTGGTCATCCTTAGTTATGCAGGAAGCTGCTTCTCTGGCTTTGAACCAAAGAGATTCAAGCATCAGGGCGAGTCGCACGCATCAGCTAGACTTGTTTGTGTTTATTTAGACATGTTCTTGTCTGCATAGCTGTGGCAGATAATAGCTATAAGTACTGTTTTTTTTAACTGAATTTTGAGGTTGCACTTCTACTCTGCTACATGTCAGATAAAAATATTATACTCTTTATATTGTCTTTTAGATCTATCGCCATACTGGATTTACTTGTCGCTTTTAAGATTCTGATTACATTAAACTATGGGAAAAAAAGATGTTGAAATAAAATAAAATAAAAGTTTAAAACTATTTCCCTAAACCATTCAAAATATTTTCCATCCATTGTCTTCACTTCAACAGAAACCATAGTTCCTAGAAAAGCCACTTGAGGCTGGCTCCAATCTCACTTCCCAGAGATTCCAAAGGAACCTCCAGAGCTGAAAACTTAAGCCAGTACAGAAGGGCCAAAAATGGCAGTTTCCCTACAGTCGGTGCCATTACAGCAGTTTTGCACCAAATAGGTGTCAGTCCCAGTTCATACAATAGATTAGAGCCCTGCACTGGGACCAGACGGTTAAAATAAGACAGCATGTCCCGAGATTGTCAGCTGGGTGGAGAGTATAACTGATCTTACTAATTATGTGCTATTACTATGTGTTAATATGCAAGAGGTCCGCCCCCTAGTGTCAGATCTCTCATATGACTCTGCGGCTCAGTTCATCTTATAGCAGTGTTTTTGCCAAAGCACGCTGCTGTTTGCAATTAAAATGCTTCTTACGTTCACCAAACAGCAGCTTCTTTCTAGAAAAGCTAATGAAGATGTGGAATATTTAGCACCTAAATATCCAGATGTTTTCCTCAAGAATCACAAAGAAGCTTAAAAAATAGTGAATAATAGACTGAATTCAACAGATGGCCAGAAATCTGGCTGCAGATTTCTCATATTTTGATATTGTTTTCCCTTCCCACAAATGGCCAAAATAAAGTTCATTCAGACACAATATTAAACAGCTTTTTAGAATTTAAGGAAAGAAAAGACGGTGAAAAGATTCAAATTGAAGGTTGACTGATTAGGTTTTTTTTTTCCTAATCAGCTTGTGAGATAAAATTCAACACTCCATAAGAAGATTACATTTGAGTATTAGGTAGGAAAAGTCTGCCCAATAGAACATTATTTTCATTTTGATATTTTATGTTTCTGAACCATGATTCTAAATCACCCATGAATGTTAGCAAGAACGGTCACATGTCCACATGGTACTCTGCCCTACGGCAAATGTTGATTGAACTTCCTGACAATTAGCTGCAAACTTCCCCAAAAAACTAATGGATGGAAAATAACCATTGCTTGCACCTATAATATAGTCACCCAGAAGCTAGTAAACAGGATTTTATTAAAGGACTAGGAATTAAAAAGGGTGCATTTGATAGCAACATCAGTTGCTCAGTCAGCAAGCACATGGTGTACCAGTACTGGATGTACAAATTGGTTTTCTGGATGACACGATGCTGGCATCTCCCATCAGCGCAGATGTTGGTTTCTATCAAATACAGATGCCTCCTTTCTTCTCTTCTGTTTCCTGTGCACTCCTCTCTTTGGTTGCACTTGCATGCGTAGCAAATGGTTTTGGTTGATGCCTTGGGAGAAATTACATTAAATGGTGTCAGAGCGCGGAGTGTCTGATGTAGGAGTCGTGAGGGTTTACTGCTGTGCTACCGCTGCTCACAGAACACAATCACAAAACAAACTGTTCCAGACCGGCAGCAGAAAATGTTTTGAGCAGTCTGAAAGTCTGCATTGCTGCTAATGACCGACTGTCTTCTCTTTTCCTGCGAACACTCGCAGGCTCATGCTTGACAGGGGGAAGAAAGGACACCTGCACTGCAAAATGGAGCTTCAGTTTTGTTTGTTTTTTTGCATGACTAATTCATTCAAATGACAGAATACTTATTTAGTTTGTTGGTAATTATATCTTATCTCTGCAAAAGGGAAGAAAAACATTACTAAATATTCTGATAGCATTTTCTGGTCCATGAGTTCATTAACCCTTTCAGGCCTTTAAAGGCAATGAAGCAAAACACCTAGATCAGAGCTGAGCTCCTGGACAGTCTGAGGTTCAACCTGGCAGCGTTGAATGGACCGAAACATAACGTCCTAGAGGTGTTCTAGAACATTTAGGTTAGGTAAGTGTGAAGTGTCAATGATATCAATTGATCCTGGTACCTAATGGCATTCAGAGTCCTGTTGTCTAGGTTGAGCCTGTTGAGGTCATGAATATGCCTCCACAGACCATCCTGCTGATGGAATAACAATCTTGTGCAGTCGACATAGAGTAGCCTCCTTTCTCCTGGAATGTCCTCCATGCTCGTATGACTTTACTGGCAGAAACAGTCTGTATGTCTGTATATGTAGAACATTACATCTGTTATGACATTCATATGCTGGATGACAGTCACTCTGGTTCACTTATTTTTTTTTTTTCCCAATTCAAGGTGAAAGATCTGAATTTGAGCCTGAAAGAAATGAAGTGAAGCAGACAAACACACACCCGGAAAGGCTACACAGGAGCCATTTTTTCATCTTTGACTATTATTTCCAACTGTTTCCAGTTGTGACTACAGTAATCAAACAGCTAAAGGGCCCCACCACTTGGCCAACAGTGGTCACTGCAATTACAAGGCAAAGATATTCAAAACTGTTCTCAGAAATGGTGATTTGGTGGCCCCCAGTGGATTCACATTGCTATTACAAGTCTGTATTCTTAAAACGGATCGATCATACAACAGAAGCAGCGGGATTTACCAAACATTTAATAAATGATTTTGCAATACAAAACATCTGTGCAAAAATATTCAGACAAAATACAAAGCCAAGGCCTCTCTTGATCAATATGCATGTAAACCTGTTATGGGTACACTGGCATTGAAATATACATATACTTTTGTTTCTTCTTACCAATAAAAGACAAAAAAAGGCACTATAATGAATTTTTGCCAAATACAAAAATACCTAAACTTGATTAAGATTCACAGTCTTGTGTACAAGTGGTTTGTGCACTGCTATATTAGTACATAGACTACATAAAAAAAGATGACTGTAGCCACAATGACGGCACCCAATGGTTGAAACCTTCACTTGAGCATTTTCACTTTTATTATTTTATTCTATTAGACTCTGTACACTCATACGGTAGCCATGCCTTATACTATTCTCTGCCTTATTAGCAATTGTCAGTGACAGCATCCTTAACAAAATGAGAAACGTCCTGTATTAAATAAGGCTTCACTGATGTCAAAAATCAAGTGAGAAGTGGACTGGACTGGGGGAGTCGCCCCCTGTTGGCCATCAGTGCAGACTGCGTTGGCCTTGCTTTTTTAAATCTGGAAGCAAAGTCCAGCTTATATATACAGTCTATGTTAGTATTCGTACATCATTTACATTGCTGGAGCTCATGGGTAAAGATGCTTAGGTAGCTCACTCTGCTTTAGAAAAATAGAATCACAAAAACACACAGAGAGGAAAGGCATTTGAAAAATACACTCTCAAATGATTTCAAATAGCATGGAAACAAGAGCACACCCTTCATGCTGCTAATAACAGCCAACCAGCTTCACTACTGACCTCTACTCACTTGAATGCTGAGGAAAACTAAAGAGCAGTAGGATTTATAAAGACAACTGAATTTGATTGTGATGCCATTTTTGCAGCTACTTTTTTCTTGTTGCTACATTTCACATGTGTCCACTTACTTTACAACTCAGAAATGCACTTTATTCTCTGCATGTCCTCAGTAAAAACAACCCGGATGTGTTATTGCTGTAGTTAAAACATGCACTCAGGAACATTCGCACCCATAGATTGTTGACTTGACACATTACTGCTGGTTTTCTGACTTTTGTTTTGAGGGAATGAAAGAAGCTTCATATTTGGCCTCTCATAAACCATCGTGGATGGCTGAGGCATAGTTTGTGCGGCTACGAAACTGAGACTCACCAAACACACACTTCGTCATCCTTCACTGGGAAACAGACAAAACGGTCAGACTTTTTTTTCAGGTTGTACTTTTTCTGTTAAAAGCTGCACGTGCTGAGCTCCTTGTCAGAATCCTGTACATGTTAATACAGTCGCCACTTGGTGTGTTAAAAACAAGTTGCAATAATATCGCAGCACACCTAATTTGCAGTATCCTTATTTAGATGCAACATTCTTCTGTCTATGTACATGGCTGAGATCTCATAAGCACCTAACTACTATAAGCATTATGCATTTGAACCCTTTTACTTTTATTATTCTTCCATGTTTTGCTTCTTTTGCTTTTTTTTTTTTCTTTTTGCACAATACAGACGTATAAATACAAAGAAGGGAACAGACCAGGACGAGGTATCCAAATTAAATTTGAACTTTTTTTTTCCCATCTCCAAAATGAAATCCGTAAAAACTTTCGGAAAAAACATAAACGTCTCATATCTGGGATCTAAGCTCAAAGAGGTTGAATATTTACAGGTCTGCAGTGATGACTGAGTCGTTGTACATCAGCACATCAGAGTCAGGGGTAAGCAGTGCTGACGTCTGAGACACGTGGTCCACCATCCCCTTCTGGGAGATTTGTCCGTACACCTGAGCCGACCCTCCGCCGCTCCCCGGCATGATGCAGTGGGACAGCAGTGGCGTGTTGGCGTCATGGTTGGAGCCCGTAGTGGAGGGCACACCGCTGACGTGACCCGTGCTGATGGAGCCGCTAGCGCTGCTGGGGGAGCGGCTTTTGGGAGGGGGCAGGTGGTGCTGGATTACCCTAGTAGGCGGAGCTGGGGGTGCAAAGTGAGCTGGGAATGCTGCGTATCCTGGCGAGATTGGGTATCCGTTGACTGGGATAAAGCGCTGGTGGGTTTGGGTCATGGCCATGGGCGTCCATGCTGGAACTGCACCCATCTGTCCCGGCGCGGGAATAGCCTGGGCTGGGTAGAGGTACCCCGCGGCGGCGGCAGCAGCGGCAGCATAGCGTGGGTTGCTAAGGTTGCTGACGGGGCTGGCGCTGAGCGAGGTGGTCTGAGTGGTGGCGTTGCCTCCTCCTCCAGAGGGCGTGCTGGAGCTGGCGTGGGACGACAACCCCTCCCAAGCTCGCAGGCGGGCGTGAATATCCTTGAAGCGCGGCCGACGTGCTGGTCCTTCCTGCCAGCACTCTGTCATCAGACCATAAAACCTAAAAGCCAACAGAGTTATTTCATTACCACAACAGCAACAATCAGACTGCTTCTAAAACTCTATTTGAATTGAATACACTAAACTAACCCTAATACCAGAGTCCAATAAAGACACTTGCACACTTGGGTTTCACCATTAGCTGGATGCACTATCTTCTTGTATACTTCTCATATTGCACCGGTAATTGCAACATACCTTGGTGGGCAGTCTTCGGGGCAGGGCAGCAGCTGCCTCTTTCTCACCATCTCCATCACTTCCTGGTTCGAGAAACCATAGTAGGGCTGTAGCCCGTGGGAAGGGAAGCAACTGTATTAGAAAATAAATCTAAACATGAACACAGGACCATGGTGCCAAGAACAGTTAAGGCCCCATCTCATCGCGAAATGTGCCCACAGAGGCCAGAAGGCGAAAAACCTGAAAACACATTCAGGAAAAAACCAGAACACACAGGCATGAAGAAAGTCATGGCTCAACCTGCTTGTGTGGATACACGCAAAGGGGACAAGCAGCTCCTTGAGAAATCTGGACTTGTCCCCTTTTATTTACAGAAAAACGATTACAGAATCGTTCCAGGCTACCTGCGTAGAAGAAAGGCAGAGAAAGAAAAGGCTAAGCAGGACAATGATGCCTGGTTAACAAAACAACAGGAAACAGTTAAACCACTGGCCGAACAGGAGAAACAAAACATTCTCCAGGGCCTAAAGAGGAGGTTTAATGAGCTAAACTTTGAATATCAATCCCTCCCTTTTACTATCTCCCCTTCACAGCACAAAAAATACAATTACAAAATGTTTCTCGAAGAGGCAATGAGTCAAGTTGAAAAAGACATTGCCCTTTTTGAGGAACATAAATACATTTACGTAGGCAGGGAAGATGCATCTGACGAACAACAGTTACAGCGGACTCCACTGCCACCCATTAGACCGAAAAACACAAAGTTGACACCCGCTCCTCAAGTCACACAATCAACGAAAAAGGAAACTTTCTCGACCGACAACCTACCACCTTTTCGTAGGATGTGTGTTCCACCTATATCCAGAAGTGGAAAGCAACCGATTCCCACCCAATCAGTTATAATTCCACAACCTAGTCCTGTCCCTCTGCCACCTATTTGTAAAAAAGCTGAATCTACACCCCGACCACCTGTAAGACCTCCAATGAAACGAGGTGTAACACCCATCCTTCCACCCATTTCCACCAAAAAGCTGTAGTGCTGTACCGTTAGAGTAGTTTTTTAACTACCTAACCCCCAACCGGTCTTGACAGAAGCCGCACCATCTGAGCCTGGTTCTGTCGAAGGTTTCTTCTTTTTAAGACAAAGGAGTTTTTCCTTCCCACCGTCGCCCAGTGCTTGCTCAGATGGGATCATTTGATTGTTGGGGTTTTCTTAAACATAAATTGGCCTATTGAAAAAATTTAGTGTTTCTTACTACATTTTATTTTCAATAGACCAATTTATGTTCAAAAAAAAAATTACAGCAGAAAAGAAAGCATGGGAGACATCTGATGCATTTCATTGCTTTTTAAAAAATAATTTATAATTTATCTGGAACAAATAAAAGAAAGTAAAACTAATCTTTTGTGGATTCTTTTCTTCAATAAGTAGTAGAATAGGCAGTTCTTTATACATAAAGCGTAGTGTTTTGTTAAAAAATAAAGTGGCACAGCGGCACTGTGGTAAAGGCCTGTGTTTTTACCATCAGCGTGACAGCACCGTGCCGCCTTTGCAGTTTTAAGACCCAGGGAAACAAGCCTGCCAGCGCTCTGTAGCGGCTGTGACCGCTGCCGATAAGGAAAGGCTGCTCTTCATAGAGGACTCAAGCTCGGGGAAACCTTTTCTGGTCGACTCTGGCTCCCAGAAGAGCCTCTGGAACTCTTGTGTCGTCTTTACAATGGTATATTATTTAATCTCAAAAAAAATTTTAAAAATTAAAAAAAATTGGAGATTTCCCGCATCACATAACATGTGCAGGTACACTGGTACAGCACATGTGAGCGAAATTCTTATGTGTGTGCAACAGAGGTGTGCAAAATACAATAACATAAGAACAAGCAAAATATACGAATGGGTAAATCTGAGAATTATAAGAATAAATATATGTACAAATATAAGAGTGTATGTTAGGGCTGTTCGATATAACGATATATATCAAATGACGGTATAAAAATGTCTATCGTTTCCTATTACGCTATCGTTTGTTTCATGATGTCGTAAAATAAACTGTTTACAGCAGTATTTTTCATCGTTTTGACGGTCACCTTAGTGGCTATATTAATTTCTTAAAGTTCTCTCTTTCTCTTATATTTAATATAACCACACTATGGGCGGGCAAGTGCCTGTTTTTACGTGTTTTCGTTAGCAACAATGACGGTAAAACCATCGCGTGGTTCCGCTGTACGCTTGTTTGTTTTCCACGTAAACCTTTCACAATAAAGCTCAAGATCCTGTTGAGACTTTTCAAAACAAACTGAATCACATGAGAGAGTATGCAGAGTTTACAGATGAGAAGCAAACAAAGAGCCGTCAGACTCAAACTATATGTATACACCTGCCCGCCTTCGTAAACAACTAAATGCTATGTTGCCCTATCATTTTTTGATTGGTCCACATGGTATATTTTTTCACCAATAGGAAAGGCTGGGGGAGTTGGGAGGGGGACTGAGTGCTTTCTAGTGTTTTTCCTTATAAAAACCGTTTCTTCCCGCAGTAAATATAAACAACGATAGTATTCAGGAAGAAAACCTGCATATATTATACTGAACATAAAGTTGTTTGCAAAACTTGTGCATAATTTTTACAAATGTACAACTTCTATTCGCATTTCAAGTTATGAAAACAATTCCTTAAACATGTTTGTGGCTTTTACAGTAAAAATGACAAGTATTTTCTACTCGGATTTTGAATTTTTTTTGTCTGAATTTAGATCTATTGTGCAAATATAGTATAAATGAAAAATTAACTCAAATTTCAGATATTTGAGGTTGTGCCAAAAAAAAAAAAAAAGAAGAAGATTTTTTTAAAGGTGAAATATAGAGGTAAAATCAAAAGTAGTCAAAAACGGCCAATTATACTCTGGACCCCAGAGGGTTACTAAATACATTTACATGTCTTGGTGACTGCAGCTGGAACCTTGGCAAAAAGTGTATGTGTGTGTGTGGAATGCTAGCTACCAGCATTCATAATATAATAGTTACAATAGCAACAGTAACCAGGGGGGTGGGGCTTAAATGACAGAACAAAGACAGGCTGCCATGATGTCACATGCCAGGCCACCATGATGTCACATGCCAGGCCACCATGATGTCACATGCCAGGCCATAAAAATCTATAAATAGGGGTGCCTCGACACACAGTTGTAGAATTCCCTTGCAGGTGATTTTAAGCTAGCGATTGAATTGTGTTTTCAGATGAAAGCGCTTATAACCTTCTCCCAAAGTAGAGTACTCTTCCTCCACCCAAACCTAAAATGTATATTTCTAAATACAGGGAAGCAATTGTATTAGAAAATAAATATAAAAATGAACACAGGACCATGGTGCCAAGAACAGTTAAGGCCCCATCTCATCGCGAAATGTGCCCACAGAGGCCAGAAGGCGAAAAACCTGAACACACATTCAGGAAAAAAACAGAACACACAGGCATGAAGAAAGTCATGGCTCAACCTGCTTGTGTGGATACACGCAAAAGGGACAAGCAGCTCCTTGAGAAATCTGGACTTGTCCCCTTTTATTTACAGAAAAACGATTACGGAATCGTTCCAGGCTACCTGCGTAGAAGAAAGGCAGAGAAAGAAAAGGCTAAGCAGGACAATGATGCCTGGTTAACAAAACAACAGGAAACAGTTAAACCACTGGCCGAACAGGAGAAACAAAACATTCTCCAGGGCCTAAAGAGGAGGTTTAATGAGCTAAACTTTGAATATCAATCCCTCCCTTTTACTATCTCCCCTTCACAGCACAAAAAATACAATTACAAAATGTTTCTCGAAGAGGCAATGAGTCAAGTTGAAAAAGACATTGCCCTTTTTGAGGAACATAAATACATTTACGTAGGCAGGGAAGATGCATCTGACGAACAACAGTTACAGCGGACTCCACTGCCACCCATTAGACCGAAAAACACAAAGTTGACACCCGCTCCTCAAGTCACACAACCAACGAAAAAGGAAACTTTCTCGACCGACAACCTACCACCTTTTCGTAGGATGTGTGTTCCACCTATATCCAGAAGTGGAAAGCAACCGATTCCCACCCAATCAGTTATAATTCCACAACCTAGTCCTGTCCCTCTGCCACCTATTTGTAAAAAAGCTGAATCTACACCCCGACCACCTGTAAGACCTCCAATGAAACGAGGTGTAACACCCATCCTTCCACCCATTTCCACCAAAAAGCTGTAGTGCTGTACCGTTAGAGTAGTTTTTTAACTACCTTACCCCCAACCGGTCTTGACAGAAGCCGCACCATCTGAGCCTGGTTCTGTCGAAGGTTTCTTCTTTTTAAGACAAAGGAGTTTTTCCTTCCCACCGTCGCCCAGTGCTTGCTCAGATGGGATCATTTGATTGTTGGGGTTTTCTTAAACATAAATTGGCCTATTGAAAAAATGTAGTGTTTCTTACTACATTTTATTTTCAATAGGCCAATTTATGTTCAAGGAAAAAAAAAATTACAGCAGAAAAGAAAGCATGGGAGACATCTGATGCATTTCATTGCTTTTTAAAAAATAATTTAGAATTAATCTGGAACAAATAAAAGAAAGTAAAACTAATCTTTTGTGGATTCTTTTCTTCAATAAGTAGTAGAATAGGCAGTTCTTTATACATAAAGCGTAGAGTTTTGTTAAAAAATAAAGTGGCACAGCGGCACTGTGGTAAAGGCCTGTGTTTTTACCATCAGCGTGACAGCACCGTGCCGCCTTTGCAGTTTTAAGGCCCAGGGAAACAAGCCTGCCAGCGCTCTGTAGCGGCTGTGACCGCTGCCGATAAGGAAAGGCTGCTCTTCATAGAGGACTCAAGCTCGGGGAAACCTTTTCTGGTCGACTCTGGCTCCCAGAAGAGCCTCTGGAACTCTTGTGTCGTCTTTACAATGGTATATTATTTAATCTCAAAAAAAATTAAAAAATTAAAAAAATTGGAGATTTCCCGTATCACATAACATGTGCAGGTACACTGGTACAGCTCATGTGAGTGAATTTCTTATGTGTGTGCAACAGAGGTGTGCAAAATACAATAAACCCCAGAGGGTTACTAAATACATTTACATGTCTTGGTGACTGCAGCTGGAACCTTGGCAAAAAGTGTATGTGTGTGTGTGGAATGCTAGCTACCAGCATTCATAATATAATAGTTACAATAGCAACAGTAACCAGGGGGGTGGGGCTTAAATGACAGAACAAAGACAGGCTACCATGATGTCACATGCCAGGCCACCATGATGTCACATGCCAGGCCACCATGATGTCACATGCCAGGCCATAAAAATCTATAAATAGGGGTGCCTCGACACACAGTTGTAGAATTCCCTTGCAGGTGATTTTAAGCTAGCGATTGAATTGTGTTTTCAGATGAAAGCGCTTATAACCTTCTCCCAAAGTAGAGTACTCTTCCTCCACCCAAACCTAAAATGTATATTTCTAAATACAGGGAAGCAATTGTATTAGAAAATAAATATAAAAATGAACACAGGACCATGGTGCCAAGAACAGTTAAGGCCCCATCTCATCGCGAAATGTGCCCACAGAGGCCAGAAGGTGAAAAACCTGAACACACATTCAGGAAAAAACCAGAACACACAGGCATGAAGAAAGTCATGGCTCAACCTGCTTGTGTGGATACACGCAAAGGGGACAAGCAGCTCCTTGAGAAATCTGGACTTGTCCCCTTTTATTTACAGAAAAACGATTACGGAATCGTTCCAGGCTACCTGCGTAGAAGAAAGGCAGAGAAAGAAAAGGCTAAGCAGGACAATGATGCCTGGTTAACAAAACAACAGGAAACAGTTAAACCACTGCCCGAACAGGAGAAACAAAACATTCTCCAGGGCCTAAAGAGGAGGTTTAATGAGCTAAACTTTGAATATCAATCCCTCCCTTTTACTATCTCCCCTTCACAGCACAAAAAATACAATTACAAAATGTTTCTTGAAGAGGCAATGAGTCAAGTTGAAAAAGACATTGCCCTTTTTGAGGAACATAAATACATTTACGTAGGCAGGGAAGATGCATCTGACGAACAACAGTTACAGCGGACTCCACTGCCACCCATTAGACCGAAAAACACAAAGTTGACACCCGCTCCTCAAGTCACACAATCAACGAAAAAGGAAACTTTCTCGACCAACAACCTACCACCTTTTCGTAGGATGTGTGTTCCACCTATATCCAGAAGTGGAAAGCAACCGATTCCCACCCAACTAGGTATAATTCCACGACCTAGTCCTGTCCCTCTGCCACCTATTTGTAAAAAAGCTGAATCTACACCCCGACCACCTGTAAGACCTCCAATGAAACGAGGTGTAACACCCATCCTTCCACCCATTTCCACCAAAAAGCTGTAGTGCTGTACCGTTAGAGTAGTTTTTTAACTACCTAACCCCCAACCGGTCTTGACAGAAGCCGCACCATCTGAGCCTGGTTCTGTCGAAGGTTTCTTCTTTTTAAGACAAAGGAGTTTTTCCTTCCCACCGTCGCCCAGTGCTTGCTCAGATGGGATCATTTGATTGTTGGGGTTTTCTTAAACATAAATTGGCCTATTGAAAAAATGTAGTGTTTCTTACTACATTTTATTTTCAATAGGCCAATTTATGTTCAAAAAAAAAATTACAGCAGAAAAGAAAGCATGGGAGACATCTGATGCATTTCATTGCTTTTTAAAAAATAATTTATAATTTATCTGGAACAAATAAAAGAAAGTAAAACTAATCTTTTGTGGATTCTTTTCTTCAATAAGTAGTAGAATAGGCAGTTCTTTATACATAAAGCGTAGTGTTTTGTTAAAAAATAAAGTGGCACAGCGGCACTGTGGTAAAGGCCTGTGTTTTTACCATCAGCGTGACAGCACCGTGCCGTCTTTGCAGTTTTAAGGCCCAGGGAAACAAGCCTGCCAGCGCTCTGTAGCGGCTGTGACCGCTGCCGATAAGGAAAGGCTGCTCTTCATAGAGGACTCAAGCTCGGGGAAACCTTTTCTGGTCGACTCTGGCTCCCAGAAGAGCCTCTGGAACTCTTGTGTCGTCTTTACAATGGTATATTATTTAATCTAAAAAAAAATTTAAAAATTTAAAAAATTGGAGATTTCCCGTATCACATAACATGTGCAGGTACACTGGTACAACACATGTGAGCGAAATTCTTATGTGTGTGCAACAGAGGTGTGCAAAATACAATAAGAGGAGGAAGAGGAGAAGTCTATCTTATGGCCAACCTCTGACTGTATCTTGGTCACATTACCCAGCAAAACCCAGTATGCAGGTTCACCTGTAACAGTCCTTGTGCCACAGATCAACACTGTTGCTTCTACATTAAACAGAAGAGCAGTGACGTGGGTGCAGGTCTCCGTGACTCCGGCCTTACAGCTGGAATGGGCGGCTTCAACCTTCCCTGTGATGCTCACAGTGACCCATGGCTGCAATGCTGGTTCATTCAGTCTTTGAGAGTGCAGGACCTGAAACACACACACAAAGTTCTTGTCTTTAAATGAACTATGAGCCAAGGCTGACATAAATGTTTTATCTACTTAATCATTAATGTAACAGTGTTTAGAAAGTTAGCACATACATGTAATTTTTCATTTCTTTATGTGTCCATCTATAGAACGCTGCATGTTATATTCTAAATCTGCCTGTTCTGTCAGAAACCTGCCTGCAGAAAATGAACCTAAAGGATGTAATCACTTTCAAGATGGAGAAAGCATAAAGTGACAATTATGAATCACTTAATATGATAAGGAGATTCTGCAGGTCATTAATCAATGTATAAAATTAAAATAAAATGCATTTTTAGTGACACAAGATACAAATATGGAAGCAAGATGTATAATCGCTCAGTTTGGGGAAATTGTGGGTAGCCTGCAAGAGCCTCAACTTCTCCATACCCACAATGTGCAACAAATGGGCACAGCTGATCTTCAACAGTGGAACATCGGCCAGTTACTTCCAACTTTAACGCAGCTTGTAGTCTTGGAGAGCAGCACACCAAAACTGCATGCACAACTTCTGCTAACAGTGGAAACGGATTAAGAAATCCATGCAAACAGATTCATAAACCGAAAGAATATTATTTTACAGGATTAATTATCATATCAGCCGCTGGCTGATCACAAACCCTGAGGGTTTATCCACAGTATTTCTGATTTCGCGCCATTACCCCGATTCATAGCGGAAGCCGGTTTTTTACTTCCGCTTGCGCTGTTGTTGACAGTTGCGGGGTTACACCTTCACTGTTGATAAAGATTTCTCTCACTGCAGTTTGTTTTACCTGGAGTAAATGGCAACACATCGAAGGTGGATACACAGTAAAGATGTTTTAAAAAGCAGCGAGGACAGTTCAGTTGCAGTGCCTCACCCGTCACTTCTCACGGAGTGGGTAGATGACATGAAACTATGGCCCGATGTTAGCTACATCGACATTATTAATTACCTTGTATTTTCCGAACGCGTTGATGGCGAGGAATTACGTAATTACAAGAGCACCGAGGCGTATAATTACCTGCACAGCAACAAAATTGATAAAGTACTGCTCAACAAACAAGGCGACTTTATTTTTCTTAAAGCAGCTGTAGAGCCGAGCCAGAGTATTAATCAAGCGAAACACTTAGCATGGGCAATGCTAAGAGAAAGTGGAGTAGTGGAGACAGTCGGCTGTTCCTGTATCGCCGGATTAGGGAGATCATGTAGCCATGCGGCTGCTATTCTGTGGAAGGTATATCACTTATCTGGATATCACAATGTTTAAATCACTGAAACAGAAACACTGGACTGGTCAAAGGCTGTGATTAAGGAGTCACGCTACTGCCATCTAGCCAAGTATTACGTGGAGCACTGTTTACATGTGAAAGCCACTCGTTAACTTTGTGTGGGCTGTATGCTGTACAATCACATGAAGATAAAATATAAAAAAAATAAAAGACTGAACATTAAGGTCAAATTTACAAGACAAGAAAAACTATAGTTATAAGAAGTGACACAGAGTAGTATAATACATGTTTGTTTATATATATGTATATTTGTACACACACACTACTTTGAAAAAAATTAGACTGTGGATGTATATTTCTGCATCAAAAAGTAACTGACTATTAATATGAAATGGATAATATGGGTGACTTTGCCAGTGTTTATATCTGTTTTGGATATGATTCAGGTGTATTGACCCAGGGTCATATCTATAACATGCAGGACACCAACCGTGTACTGCTTTTGTTAGTGTAAACTTCCTCGTTATGTTAAATCTTGAGTATTGACAGTGAGAAAAAACTATTAATGTTTGTTACAGGTGCAGAATGCTGCGATCAGTGGAAAGACAGGGCTTGCGTGTACAGACGAGCAGCGCAGGTGGAATGCAGGGACAGCAAAGAACCTTGAACCTAAACGTCTAAGCCAGATAAACTTCAGACATCACAGGGCAGAGCAGCAGTACGATGTGAACTCCCGGACTGCAGTGACACAATCTCTCCCTAACACACCATATCACCTTACACATCAAGACTTTATTGACAGTGTTAGCAAAGCACCAGTGAAGCCACTTTTCCTCCTCAAGAACACATTAATTGGAAAGTGTTACAATGCCTCGCCATCTGCAGGTCCTCACCGCAACAGTAAAGTTGATGAGCAATTTTTTCAGCCACACCAAGCACACAGTTACAAACTAAGCTGTAATCCATGCAGGGCATTCTACCAGGCATACATTCAAGTTTCTGAAGAGCAAGCAGAACAATTACAAGAAGAAACAAAAGAGCAAAGTGCATCTGATTTGTGGCACAACTGCAGGAAAATCAGACTTACAGCAAGCTCTGCTAAAAAAGTTCCAGTACGTGCCACCACAAAAAATGACAAATTTTTATCTGAGCACATGTACCCTTCCTTTCGTGGGAATTATGAAACAAACTATGGTAAAGAAAATGAAGTTAAAGCTTGTCATCAGCTGAAAGAACAGGGTATGAACATCCTTCACATGGGTAGTGTTATCAGCATCCAGGAGCCATGGCTCTCTGCGAGTCCTGACGGGGTCATTGACTCAGATGTGCTTCTAGAAATAAAATGTCCTGTGCAGACTTATCCTTCACTCACGGAGCAGCTTACCCAGAAATGCAGCGATATCAAACTGGTAGATGGAGAACTGCAGCTGCAGAAAACTGGCAGCAGAGGCTATTACATGCAAGTGCAACTTACAATGTTTTGCACAGGGCTCAAGACTGCCACACTTGTGATCTGGACACCTACTGAGCATGTTTCATTTACAGTGCAATATGATGAAGCATTTGTAAAGGAACAAGTAAAACGCTTGAGAGGGTTTTACTTCTCATATTTCTTACCTCGACTTGTAGAGGAGTATGCAGCAGGACGGTTTCAGTTAAATGAGAGATACTTGAAGATAATGGGCAAGCTTTAATACATGTTACAACTATAAATGGGACAGTCAGACACCAACATGTCTGCAGAGTTTGGTCTCTGTCTTGTGAATGAAAGGAGACATTCAATATGAAATCTGTTAAATATTTCAATACAACTAAAATGTACGTAGTTGTAACATATGGTGGGAAATGAATGACAAACTGACAACATTAAATGTTGTGAATAGTTCTGTATTTCTGTAATCTTCCAACACAAAAAAATGTCAAGAATGCACAACTAATTATTGTAGATTTGAGAAAAACATTTTTTTTTCATTTAAGAAATTTATCACATTGTGGTTGAATAAAAAAGTAATAATTGTTCAATTGATTGATTGCAATTGTTTTATATATACACAAAAAATACATACATACATACGCACACACACACTGTATCACATAACCTTTCATCTAGAACACAAGATAAAAAAGTGAGACCTGGAATTATTTACTCTCTACATATATGTACATCAAATTTTAAAATAATTACATTACACTACGCAACTTTATGTCCTGAGTAACCATCTTAATATCCCCGAGTCCACAATTGTTCATAACATACACAATTATTGTGTATCACGAATGAGATCCTCTCTTAAGTTCACTAGAGCAGCACATATTCTCAGTATCTTGTCTACTTTAGGAGCCATGCTTATAGGAACAATTTGTGAAAGTATTTTGTAGACTTTCAAGCGTCTGATTGCTCTTTCAACATGGATTCTTACATTTGCAATCCGACGTGTGTATGTTACCTGTTCCTCAGTTAGCTGTCTACGTTTTTTTGTGAAAGCGGGTATTACTAATCTAACTTTTCTCTCAAAGAGTAAGTCTTTAATTGTAAAACCTCTATCTGCCATGACTTCATCACCAGGTTTTAGGTATGTTAATATTCCAGAGTCCATTGTGATGAATTTGTCACTACATCGGCCGCCATATGCCGCAGACACAAAC